CAATGCATTGTTTGTTGGATGTTGATGTTTGCATGTCTTTTATATTTATGAACTTGAACTGGATATTATTTTTTGATGTTTTTACGATTTCTAAAATATTCCTTCTTCCAAAATTAAAAAAAGTCGAAAACAAATTTAACTGATATGACACATAATTATCACAAATGTCAATGTCAATCATAACAACCGCTGAAAAAGTTTGGTCACTTTGGTGACAGCTGGTACCAACCGCATTTCAGGAACATTGTCCCGTAAATCTACAATTTTCAGGAATTTGACATTTACGGAACGCGATTTTACTAACCAGGTTAACGAAGGTGATATACGGAACACACGGTAAATATGGCTGTTGACTTTGTTGATGTTATAGGTTATCAGAAATATAAATGTATATCAGAGGCGATTTTAAATCAGTTACTTGGTCTTGAATATGATTGACTACACTGATATAAATCAAAAACAATGACGTCATATTGAATATAGTCTTGAAATGGTCAAGTTTAACATGACTACAGTAAAAACGTAGTCATCACAGGTATGAAATGTCAAATGAAATGACAAATGTAAAACTTTTGCTTTTTAATTATTAAATTATTGTTTGGTTGTGTTATTTGTAAAATCGAAAGAAAGGCTGAGTATAGGGTTGCTAGATTTATGAAAGGGAAAAGTGGGACAACGATGACGACAAAGATCAGGTTAAAAAAACAGGTATTTTTATAAAATAAGATCCTTTCTTTGTGGAGATCTAAAAAAAGTTCTCCACTTATCTTTTTATAAACTATCAGGTCCTTTTTTTGAGGATATTCTGAAAAAGGGTCAAAAATGTCTTTATCTATAACTTTGGATTGAAAAAGCGTAGCATTTAGTTAAAATGTGGGTCATTTTCTTACTTTGGCGTAACGCGTGCCAACAATTTCGCCTAAAGCGAGCCGTCTGGCAACCCTAGCTTAGTACCTAGATATGAACGCAATAAAAGGTTTTTGTAAATGAAAAGCCAATTTATTTTTAAAGATGGCCAAGATTTACTGATGAACATGGCAAAAGGTTTGATAAAATTTCTGACGCCAAAGACCCTACAACACCAATTAGCAACTACAATACCAATTTTCTCTTCATCTGTGATCAGTACACAAAACAAATATTTATTAACTGACTTCAAAAAAGGAGGAGGTTCTCAATTCGTCGTAATATATTTTTTTACGTATGTTCAGCGATAATTCTTTAACATGGTATTCGGTTTTAATGTTTTTTTTTTGTTAGACAGGGGGTACTTCAGGGGTGGTCCCATATCAATTTGGTCAAAAACTAATAATTGAGTCCATTAGAAAATCTTCAAACTCTTCATTTTTTATGTAAGTTTAGTGGTAATTCTTTACAACCTTGTCCGATTTCTATGATTCTTTTTTTTGTTAGTAAAGGGACAACTTAGAGGTGGTCCCCCTTTAAATTTGGTTAAGATGTGGTGATGGCATCTGCACGATTTTGAAGTCGGTTTTTTAAAATTACTTTTATAACTTGTTTATCCTTCAAATTCAAAACCAAATCCTAACTACAATACATAATACACAAAAATTCGCGATTGACAATGTCATGCGTATTGTCAAGTTAGTGTCAATATAAATCAAACATTTTTAAATCAGATAATATAACGTCATTATAATGACGTAAGCACACTTGACTTGGTCACATTTCTAGTAACTGATTTAAAATCGCCTAATATATTTTTGTTTGAAAATCGACTTTTTGAGAATAACTTTTATCTTTTTAAAATGGATATTGAATATTTAAGAAAATTGTTAATAGAATAGATGCAGGTTAGTATAAAATATAAAAATATGATCTGTTTACATATCAATCATAGGTAGATTTGTTGTAGGTATAAACTTAAGTAAAAGTTAATAAGTGGCTTGGACCTCTTTACCACACAGTACTCTTTACTCTGGATTACACAGTGACTGGAATTCCTCCCATGAGTAATATGAATATGTGGCTTATTTAGTGTTAACTTATAGTTAATACACTAAACGGCAAATACCCAGAGAGCATAGAACATAATTGGGCGATTATGTGATGTTTTTATATCAACAGAGAAACATTTATTTGTGATTTGACCCCAATATTAGATGTTTATATTGAATATTTTGTTATATTTGTTTGTTACATACATGTAATGTGTATATCAAGTAAACGTGCTACTTCTAAGAAATCCTTTAATTCAAGGGTTTAAGAAATAAATAAATGTTCAAGAATTAAGTGAGTTGTGTTTTAATAAAAAGTGTATATAGGTACGTACTTCGGTTTTTATCAAATACATAAGATTATATTTCCTGCTAAAACATCTTTTTAAAAAATTCATTAAGATATGGTTTTGATAAATAGAGTATAGTAATGATTCTGATAAGTAGAATATAGTGATGTTTGTTTAGAATAATACACCTATACCTATGTATATCATCCAGAACTTGTGAATGTAAAAACTCTTAAACGTTTTAACATTGGTTGTGGTTTTAAAAAACTGTGTGCAAGGCTTTTATTTAAATTTTTTGTTTGGTCAGTTATAAGGAGGTTACTTTAACATTAAAAGTACATCATATATGGAAGGTTCAATGTTTTATGGGGAAGTAGCCGTTACATTCATAAACAGTTTTGTGCTCTCTGGGTGAAGATATTCAAAAGCTTACAGGCCTATAAAGTTTATGAGTCAGGATTTGATTTTACGAGTATATTTTTTTATTTAAAGTATTTTATTTATGTATTTATTGTGACAATTTTGTAAATGGTTTTGTTTTCTAATAAATAAAAATTACTTGAATATTCACTTACAGTTTAATCATTTAGGTAAATTCCTCAATTTTTAGTTTAAAAAAAATAACAAATTTTTTTTTTGTTTAACTAGAACATTAAAAAGCAATGTTGACCAATTTATAATATGTACTACAGTGCACAGTTTCGTAGTTTTTTTTTTTTGAAAATGTGAATAAAAAAATACAACATGAATAGTAGTTATCTTTATTTTACAAATTTGCTATAATATTTTAATTAATAATAAGTTTGCAAAACATAAACAGAACAAATACATAAGTAGTGCCTATACAACATATTAAGTAAAAAGCCAAAGTTCATCTTGACATTTACATAGAAACAAAGAAAAAACACCAGGTACTCAATATATTAATCAACATCAGAATATTCGGATTCAAAAGATTCCATTTCGTCTGAGCTTCCAGTGTTGGCAGTTATTATTAAGGGCTCTATCATGTCATCCATTATTCCATCCAATGTATTCATTTTATCTTCTTCCTTAATCACATGTTGTACACATTTATGCCAATTTGTAGGCGTTACATTTCCAATAGCTTGTAATAAAAGGCCTTTCACATCTGCTAACTTAAAAGTTGTATTTTTAGCTGCCACCTCATTCCTTATGCTTCTTCTGCCATTTCGTCGACAACATACAAATTATGTGCATCTTTATGTTGCCGAATTAGGTGTAAAAGTTGACACTTCTTCATATTTAAATCAAATTTAATATTTTTCATATGTAACCACTCCTGCATTTCAGCTATTCTTGATTACGAGGAGGGAATTATCTCAACTTTTCGGCTATGATATGATGCATTATCCATCACAATTACAGCATCATCAGATATTTTTGTCAAAAAAGTAAAAAACCAATTCTTAAATACTTCAGAATTCATCTCTTCATGGTAACCTTCTGTCTTTTTGCCTTCAAAGACCAATAATGCATCTTTTACAAAACCTTCTTCAGAACCAGCATGTAAAATAATGAGGCGTCTTCGCTTTCCTGTTGGGCTTTTCAGGCCCGTGGTTAAACCTTCAATATATGCTTGACGTCTACTGGTTACATTTTGGTCCACCCATGTTTTTCCCTTACTATGACCTTCATTAGTCCAAGTTTCATCTAAATAAAAGATTGGCCTGTTTTCTCTTCTGTATTGTTTGATCGATTGTAAATATGATAACCTCCATCTACAGATATCATCACGTTCTATTAATATACTTTGACGATTTCTTTTCAAATATCTAAAAAAATATATATAATAAATAAAGATTTCATTTGACTTTTCAAAGTTACAAACTTACCTAAAGTTAATAAGTTTTAATAAAGTATATAAAGATGACCGAGACATTTGTGGCAAATTTAAACGTTTCTTCAATGCTTGTAAAATTTTATTTAATGTAGGTAATTCATTTATTAAAAAAAAAACATGTACCAATCTTCTAACATCATTTTTGAACCCCTCATCAAATGTTTTAGAAGTCCTGGTCTTCCACCAATATTTTTTGGACTAGATATGGTTCCACTTTTATGGTATTCTTGTAGTACCCGGTAAACTGTTGACTTTACAACTCCTGTAAAAAAATGTTGGGTATTTAATACCATTTTTAATTTGAAAGTAATGAGTAGGTATAACTTACCGGCGGCTTGAGAAATTTTATATACAACATCCACAATTTTGGTTTTTGGTTTATCATCCAATACCTGTTTGTACATATTTATTTTGTGCTGTTTTTCTGCGAGACTTAAATGGCCTAAACGTTTTCGCTGTTTTGGTGGACTACGCGAGGAACTGCTACCTTTACTAGTACTCGGTGTAGAATTATCCATAATCGCAGAAATTTAATACAATTGCTTACCGAAGTTCTGAAAAGAACTGTTTTTTAAAGAAATAGAGTGGAAAACTAAGTAATAATGATAAGAGATCAAACAAAAACCGAAAGCAATAACAAAACTAAAAATATAAATAAAGTGTCAGAAGTGTCAATCTGATCAATCAGAAGTCTCCAGAATTACCAACTTAAATTCAAATCGCTCCTCCTGGTTTTTAAACAGACTATAGTTAGATCTGTGTTTAGTTTATATTACACAAAAAGAACAAGAAGGCGCTCTAAAAGAGCTGATAAATGAATTGGAGAACGAAAATGATATTATTTAAAATTCGTGTTTGTTTTATTTGGTAAGTAAATAATACCTACAGTGGAATTTGGTGCAATTTATATTCCACCTGACCCCGATGAGCTAACTGACAAAGAAAACTTTGACGACAATCTGGCTACAAATCAAGATAATCAAACAAATGACATTGCTGGTACCTTCGAGCTGCAACTAAAGGAAGCTGCTACTGAGTTAGAAGAATGGGATTCTTCGAATGATGAATCCTTAGCCAAAAAGAAACAAGTTACGTTGGTTGATAATAATGTGGACAAAGATCCTCAATAGAAAAAAGATACGATTTCACTTTTGTCACAACCGGTGTCAGGAGAATATTTAGACAAGGAACTAATAAAACCACGGAAAATCGCCTCTAGAAAGTTGTTTATGTTCTTCGATGACGAGGTGGTGAACCTAATCATAAAATAGAGAGTTATTGCAAGTTCACTTAAGGTCAGTCACTATTTGTGCCGCTCTTATTTTGACATCTGAGCATGCGCAGATCACTAACTTTAATAAAGATTGTGCCAGTCCTTAATAGAGAGATATTGCAAATTTCTATAAAGCCAGCCACTAAACTTTAAATTATAGTTCATCTTTTTTGTTGTCTATAATATTAAAGAGGCATTAGAAATTATAATTTTAGAAGGTTTAAATGACGATTATAATAAATATTTAATATTAAAAAACTTCTAACGGATACGAATGTCGGCGAGCGCATCCGAAAACTATAAAGTCGCCACTACCTGCTGCTGCCCTTAAACAAATTACAATTAAGGACAGGCACAATCCTTAATAAAGTCAGTTTTAGAACATAAACATCTGCGCATGCTTAGATGTCAAAATAGGAACGGCACTAATAGTGACTGACCTTAAATGAACTTGCAGTAACTTTCTTATTAAGGATAGGTACAATCTTTATTAAAAGTTAGTGATCTGCACATGCTCAGATGTTAAAATAAGAGCGGCACTAATAGTGACTGACCTTAAGTGAACTTGCAATAACACTCTAATGTTTTAATAAATATGCGAAAGATAACAATAGACACGATTTTGATTTAACCCGTGCTGATTTACTTAAATTCATTGGACTAATATTATTTACAGGATATCATAATATACTTCCACAAATACAGTTATACTGGTCAAATGATAAAGACAAAGGCGTGGATCTCATTAAATTTGTATGAGTAGAAACAAGTTCTATAATATCAAAAGAAATCTTCACTTATCAGATGATAGTCAGCTTGATAAAAACGACAAGTATACTAAACTCATGAAATATTTCAATGTGATAAATAAAAAAAAAATGTTCAGTTTGGTGTTTTTCTTTCTGATAGTTCATCTATCGACGAGTAAATGGTTCCCTATTTTGAAAGATATTCTTGCAAGATGTATATTAGGGATAAACCTGTACGATTTGGGTTTAAATTGTGGTGTTTATTTCATACGCCGGTTTCAATCCAAATAAACAAAAATCTTCAATTGGTATGGGTAGACAAGTTGTTTTTGATTGATTATCGATTATAAAAGATCCTAGTAAACACCAGTAAACACATAGATTCTTTGCTTGCCTATGTGACAAGGGGTTTTATGCTATTGGTACAGTACGTGAAAATAGAACTCTTCGTTGTCCGTTAGACTTTGTTAAACGCATGTTAAAGAAAGAACGCGACTCGTTTGATTCGGCACATGATACTTAAACTGGAATATCGTTAGTAAGGTGGAATGATAATTTTGTGGTTACCGTTATTAGAATGATGATTCCGTGGTTACCGTTATTAGCAACCATTATAATGAAGAGACCTTATCCACAACAAAAAGATATAACCAAAAGCTAAAGAAAGATGTGTCAATAGAACAACGGAATGTCATAAAAATGTATTTCAATATGGGTGGGGTAGACCTCCACGGCAATGGAGTGGCAAATTATAGGATTGGTTAAAATTCAAAATAAACTTGATGTTGCCGACCTCCACGCTATCTCGGAACCCTAGGAAGACGGACAGGGCAATCTATGCCCACCTTTTCCAAGAGGCTCTGAGAGAGATGGAGGCCGAACCACCAAACAATAACAATGCTTTGGAGAAGTACTCGAACACTATCCAAAACACAATAAACAATGTCTATAAGAAATCCTGTCCCCTTAGGTTGATCCAACACGATCAGACGACTGCTGCATGGTGGTGTCACGAGTCAGAAAGCTGGATAGGAAATCCTTTAATAAGGCAAGAACCACAAAACTCAAAGAGGACTGGGATACTTATAAATCTCACCTCAGAGAATACAAAAAAAATGTCAAACAAAAACAGATGTATAAAAATCCTACTGCGAAGAAATCGAAGATTTCCCGCAGGCAGCGAGGCTTTAAAAAGCTCTCTCCAAAGATCTACATCGAAGCATTGGTGCGCTTATCAAAGAGGATGGCACGAAAACTGCCAACCTCGAAGATAGCATCAAACTTCTGCTGTCGACACATTTCCCTGACTCGGTCATCACAGACCTGGCCGACTGGGCTGAGGAAGAATACAATCCATCTGTCTATGATTGGCAAACTGCCAAACACATTGTAGACGATAAAAAAATTAGATGGGCAATATCCAGCTTCTCTTTATTTAAATCACTGGGACCTGACGGTATCTATCCAGTCCTACTTTAGTGGGGTCTGGAAGAACTCACACCGCACCTGGTGGGTATATTCAGATCCTCGTTGGCTCTGAGGTATTTCCCCAAAAAATGGAGGGAGGTAAAAATGGTATTTATACCCAAACCTGGAAGGATGGATTACACTGTCCCAAAAACATACCGACCAATTAGTCTGACATCGTTTTTCATGAAAACATTGGAAAGGCTATGCGAAAGGTACAAAAGGGATGCGGTGATTACAACAATACCACTACATCCAAACCAACATGCATACACCCCAGGCAAATCTACCGATTCAGCACTTCATCTAGTTGCTGGCCAGATAGAAAGATCCCTGAACAATAAGGAGTCCGCCTTGGGTGTTTTTATAGACATATAAGGTGCTGTTGATAAAACCACCTTCCCAAAGATAATACACTCACTAACCAATAGAAATGTTCCACAAATGGTTAGTGGGTGGATACATAACATGCTCTTAAAGCGAGCAGTAAACATAAGTGTAGAAGATGAGAATATAAGAGGCTTGGTTGCGAGTGGATGTCCAAAGGGAGGTGTGCTTTCACCTCTACTGTGGAATATGGTCCTCGACACCCTCATCAGCCGCCTACATAAAGACAGTCACTACACAATAGTATATGCAGATGACTTGATCATTCTGCAAACAGGGAATTTTGAGAACATACTCTGCAAAAGAATGCAAGTAGCTCTTAAAATTATAGAACAGTGGTGCAAAGACCACTCACTGTCTATCAATCCTAAGAAGACAGAAATGGTCCTTTTTACAAGGAAAAGGTTGAAAATGGAATTAAAACCTCCTGAACTCCTAAACACAAAACTAAACTGGACCTGGCCCTTCTATTGGCCTGACACAATCGTTAGTGACAGACCTAATCAAAGAATATTCCCTTGTGAAATTCAAGGAAAGATGGGATGAAACAAGAAACTGCAGAGTTGCCAGGGAGATCTTAAGTTATTCTGACAACTCTGCAGCAAACAAATACTTGACTATGACTAGACAGAATATGCGCCTAGTCACATGCATTCTGACTGGTCATTGCCAAGTACGAAAGCATCTCCATATCATGGGGCTGTCAGAATCCGCACTCTGCAAAGGGTGCGAACAAGAAGATGAGGCCTTTAGGCATATCCCTTACGATTGCTCGACGCTCTCATTTATTAGAAGATTTGTGTTCGACGAGTATCGGCTAACACCGGCCCATATAAGAGAAGCACCTCTTGGCGACGTTGTCAACTACATTAAATGTGTAGGCTGGCTTACGAGCTAGGAGGTGCCTATCTTCTCAGGAGGATGCACAATGGGCCTATTGAGGCCTAAGTTCCGTGGGGGTAATCCCACCCTCCACACATTACAGATACAGATATAGCATTGGGATTTCTGGTAAAAAGTTATTATGGCCATTATTTGCCAATTCTGTTGATAGCTCTATAATATTGCCAATGATAAGAAAACTACCCAACTGTAAATTTAAATGTAAAATTTAACTTTGCCACTTCTCTTATGAAAACCGTTTCTTCTGTTTGAAAACCTTTTACATCGAGAGTGACTGGTGAGCTTCGTTTTAGGGCCACATGATAAAAAAGGCTGAAACTAACTCCAGACGTATATGAAAATTTTGTAGCCTCCAAACAGTATATATTTGTGCAAAATGTAATGTGCCTGCCTCTTCATAGTAATTGTTTTTGCTTATGTTTTTGAATATCACACAAATTAGCTTTTTTTGAAAACCTGAGCAAACAAATTTTTTTTTTGTAAAATATTATTTCATCCGTTTTAAATTAAAATAAATGTTTAATTAGATAAAATACGTATTTTTACCCCTTGGTAAAATATGGGATATTACAAGCCCTAAAAACTAAAATATTGAAGCGTGTAATAATTTTAATATTATTATTATTATTATTAATATTGTCTTAAAATAACAATCAAAAAACGTATATCCACAATCTTGTACAACTCTTTTAAATAATTAATAATTTGGTGTATTTAAAAAACAACATTGATTTGAAAATATTTCCAACGAGGCCTTAATATTATATTCGTGGCGACTGGAAGATTTTCTGACCTTTTTAATAGTTTAACAGTTGTATCCACGGTTCCAACCACTTGAAGTCCAAAAACTCATGTAAATGCGGAAATAAACTCCTATTTTGCAGAATTAAATCAGTCAATTAATCAATAAAGTTTTATCTAGAAAAATAAAATAGTTATCATTTTTGCATAAAACTTTTTTAACCAGTCTCTTATGCAGATATTGTTTCTTTTGAAAAACATTTCTTGAAAATTTAAATTTATACAGTCAGTTAATATAGAAATTTTTAAAATAACAAATACTTGACTACATTGTTCTATTTTTTGATATTTAAAAATTTAAACTTTTTATTGTCAAAGCTGCATTTTTCTTTCGGAAAACATTTAAATTAAACTTCTTGGTGAATAATTGATGCTTAGTCGATGAAGCTGTACTATTTTAATGGCATGCCAAATTCTTTATAAAGATAATTGAAAATATCCTTTCTATAGACCCGCCACAAGTTATAATATACCTCCTTTATTCGAATAGCAATTTACTCTAATGTTACTAAAGGAAACATGATAATGAACAGTAAATTATTAACCTTTG